TGCAACTCTGTGGCATATGGCATTCTATTTATATACATCTTTGATTATGTGCATGTTTATGTACTCTCTGTCGAAGTCACAAATATAAATACCTATGTGTGTGTTGTTTGGCTTTCAGAAAATTCTGTTAGGAGCATGAATTTCATCTCAGATTACACCATGTAATACTGTTGTGTTCCTAGGCCATCTGGTTGCAAAGAAGAACCATACAAGTAGACATGCAAATCAGTTTCCACACCTTGAAAATAGTTCAAAGCTATAAGCCCATGGAATGTTGGAACTTTCTAAGCCCTGGTACAGTAGTCATCACTGCAGTTTTTTCCTAAGATTGATATGAAGACACAAGTTAACTTTTCGATTCTGTTTTTGTTAGAGTAACAATTTATGTTATTGTGATGTTGTCGTTGTTATGTTGATTTATTAAATATCTTAGTTGATAGTTCTATTTTGTAATCTCATAATCTCATGTACCATCCAGTTGCTATGGCCTGAAAGTACTCTCCCAGTGGAGATTTAGTTAAACCATCCTCTGAGAATTCAATGAGTAGACTATACTTTTCTTCATGATTAATCACAATTGATTACATGTATTTCCTGCCAAAATTAAAAAGTGTAAGTTTTCAACATTATTATTTTTTTGTAAAGGACAGTTTCAGGTTCATTTAAGTTTAATGATTTTGATGTTGTTTTTAAGAATAATTTTCATGCTAATTGAGGTCTCCTATGTCAAAGAGAAAAAAAAATCAAGTTCTTAAAGTGTCAAGTCTTCTTTAAGGCATTAAATGCAATTTAAAAACTCTCCAAAATACTCTTTGTATGGATTCTATGGTGGTTGTTACATAGCTGCCTTCCTTGATTCAACAGTTGTTTACTGAGTACTCTTAAAGGCACGGTGTAAACTGTAGTGAGGAAAAGTAAGCCTTTGACCTCATGAAGCTTATGATCTCCTGCAGGGGGAATGGCCATAAACATTAAAGAAATAGCAATTTAGAGAACTATCAAGAAGACATAGGCCAGAGTTTAGTAATATGGAAGGGAAATAACTCTTGGGTGATTAGTAAAAGCTTGTTGGAGGAGGTAGATTTCAGACTGAGGCTTAAAAAAATGAGAAGGGGTTGGCTATGCAAAGAGCAGGAAGCAAAGTAGCCTAGGCAAGAGATCAGCCAGTACCAAGACTCAAGGCATAAAGGACTTGGGTGTTTCCAGAACTGAAAGTAAGCTAGGGTGATAGTTTGCATCAGAGCTTTTAAGTTGTGTGTGTGTGTGTGTGTGTGTGTGTGTGTGTGTGTGTTGGAGTGGAGGAGGAGGAGGTGGCATGGGGTTAGGTTAGGTCATTAAATAGTTGCCAGATGATTCCTGACATATAGGCCATGGTAGAACTCTAGGTTTTAAAATAAGTCCAATGGGAACAAATCAAACAAATTTTTTTTCTTTTTCTTTTTAATTAAAATGTATTGGGTTGACAGGGCTTAGTAAAATTACATAGGTTTCAAGCATGCAATTCTGTAATACATCACCTATATATCACATTGTGTGTTCACCACCCAGTCAGTTCACCTTCCATCACCATATATTAATATTTGGCCCTGTTTAACCTCTTCTATCACCCTCCTCCCCCCTTACCCTCTGGTAACTGCTAAACTATTGTCTGTGTCTATGAATTTTTGTCATTTGTTTGTCTTGTTCCTGTTTTGCTCTCAGTTTTACATATCAGTGAAGTCATATGGTTCTTGGCTTTTTCTGTATGACTTATTTTGCTTAGCATAATAATCTCAAGATCCATCCATGTTGTTGCAAATGGCACTATTTCATCTTATTACAGAAAAGTATTCCATTGTGTAAATATACCACATCTTCTTTATCCAATTATCTATCAAAGGACAATAAAAAAACTTAAGGATAGAGAATTGTGATTTGCTTTAAATTTTTAAAAACTCACTTTGGCTGCTTTGTGGAGAATGAATATGTTTGAAGAGGTACCCATGTCTTTGTGTTTGTGGTTAAAAATGGAAGCAGTGAGACCAGTTGGAAAGCTATTAGAATCATGTAGTAAAAGATAATGGTGGCTTGGATCATAGAGTGGCAATGGAGATAGAACCAACTGGATAGATTTGAAAATATTTCTGAATTTACTGATGGATTTGATATTCAGGGTGAGGAGGAGTCAGGAATCAAAGATGATCCCCCTTTTTATTAACTAAGTATGTCATGGTGCTATTTATTGAGATCAGGTTTAGGGCAGGATCAAGTTTCAGAGGGAGATCATATTCACTTTTAGGTATCTACCACCAAACCTATTGCAACTCTCATTAATTCATCAAACATTGATTGTGCTTCACCATATGCTAGACATGGTATGAAGTGCTGAGGATATCTGGTGTCCTTATGGAATTACAGAGATGGTAGATTTCAGACTGATAAAAGGGACCATAGCTAGAAACGATCCAGTCTAGAATCTTCATTTTATTAAGGATGAAGGGTAGAATTTGAGCCATGTAATTTATGGAGAAATATCAAGACTTCTCTATAAATACCATGGTTATTTTAGTAAAACTTAATTTTGCTCATCCAGCAATAGTTGTGGTATTATTTTCCCATAGGGATATGATGCAATCTGTTTTCATTTCTGTTTTAATGAATTGTTACAATTAGTACTAATAAAACACTTGCTGATGCATTCCGAAGTCATGAAAATATAGGCATGATAGCAAGAGTTCAATGGGAGATGCTGTCATTGGTTTCACCAGACTCGTAAACAACATATGCAAGAAGAATCATAAACCATGTTCTAATGTGCACACATTTTTTTAGTAAGGCATTAATGTTAGACAAAAGCGAAATTGGGTACTTGTATTTTTTATATTATTGATGGTAGTTTGCTAATTACTTTGAAGAATTTTAGAGGGGATTTTTCAAACTTAATAGAAAGCATGACTATAAGAGGGGAGAAAAAAATACAAGAAGGGCCCCAAGGAAAGAATTTGTTGTGCAGTGTGTGTGTGTGTGTGTGTGTGTGTGTGTGTGTGTGTTAAGGTCTTATTTAACTTTATAAAGTTAAGGTAGTGGGTCAAAGAGTAAGTAAGTAATAATGTGTAGATTTGAACAATTTAAACACCAGGAAAACAAAAAAGATTATTTAGAGTGGTCTAAATAAGCATACTTATTATCTAAATTATGTTACAGCACGTATTGTTCATTTAGAGTGAGGTTTACTTGGCTCATTATACCAGGTCAAGGAATGTGAAAGAAAAGAGATGAAAGTTCTTGCCCTAAAGGCATAACAAACTTGCAGTGCCGGCATGATCCCGTCTGCACACATACATGCATGCACACTGGGGGAAGGTGTGCAGTAAGGTGTTACTGTCATGGGAATGCCTTATGGAGCAAAAGCCTCAGGGTATTCTGTAGAGATGAGAGCCTTACTATTAGAAGGATGTTTCAGTGTAAGAAAGGAAAGAGTGGATTTTGAATGAGACAGATAGTGGTCAAGTGGCCTACTTGAAGCTTCAAAGTAGTTGGAAGAGATGGAGATAAAAGCAGAGACGGAGACAGATTGGAATGCATGCCCATGGAAGAGGCAATACTACTTTGATGGTCAAGACTATCAAAATGTGAAGTAATTAGATCCCAAGTTCTGCTTCATCTCTGCAACTGGAATGGCAGGACTAAATTCAAAGAAACTAAAAGCCTAATAATGGAAGGTTTGACCATTTACCTTCAAAGAAGAGCCTCAATTAAGTAACTAAGACTGACAATGGAAAGTTCATGGAGCTTGTAACTAGGATTGTGTGTATACAACTCAATTGAAAAGTTAGTGGTGGAGATAAGAACTAGACAGAAAGACAGCTTGTTTTTTGGAATCAAGCAGAGAAAAATAGGAGCTTTGTGCATGGATATTCCAGAACAGGAAAATTCCATGTTTTATTACCTAATATGTATCTTTATATCTGCATCAAAGAAAGGAGAGTAAGAGTGGACTTTTTACTTTCCTGAAAACGTGCTTAGAAATAAACATTAGCAAGAATTTGCGGGAAGCCTTTGGGACAGGAAAAAGTCTTTTATTCTTAACCAAGTGTCCTTGGCTCTCCCAGAAAGCTACCTCCCTCATTCTTACTGTGGCAGTTTAGCTTCTCACCTATTTTTTTTCTATGATAATTTTTTTCTCTATGATAAATTCTCTATGAAAATTTCTCTATGATAAATTTTTTTTCTGATTAATTTTTTTCTCTATGAAAAATTCATTTTCTTGCTATGTATAGTGTGCACGGTCTTACACTCCTTCACACATAACCTTGAGATGCTCCTCATCATGTAATTGACTGGAACACACCACTCCTGATGTTAGAAGGAAACTCATCTGCTAAGCAGGGCTTTTTTGTTTTGTTTTGATTTTTCCTAAACTTGTTCAGCTGCACTAATTCCTGACCAGTTAAAGAAACTCTCAAGGGGATACACTTGGGGGGATGTGGAGGGAGGGCAGATACAGCTTGAGAAATTTTCACATATGTAAAACAAATGTCTTCCATTGAGGTTTTTAAAATAGTCCCTTTAAACTTTAACATGTGTTGGGCTAGTGTTTGCTCAGATAATCACAGGCCTGCACAAGCTGGCCCCAATCAGTGCACACCAGACACAGAGGCCCATTATCATGAGAATGGTGTTTTTGTTGGTTGTTTTAGTTTTTAAAAAATTGCTTCTTAACACATTACCCCCAGAACTTTACCATTCTTAAGTTCTACTTAGTAAAAAAAAGGATATTATCACCCAGCTGGCTAGCTCATTTAAGGAAGAAGACACCACAAACTCTCTCCAAGTTTCCTCCAGTCACATTGTTGTCAGGTCTGTGTTTGCTTCTAGAAATTTGGCAAGTGAGTTGGTAATACGTTTTCATTTCTCCTATACTTTTTTAAGGGACAGGGGTGATTTAAGAAGGAATTGATTTATCAGAGCATCTTATTCTTTCCCTTTTTTTTTTTTTGTTTTGTTTGTTTGCTAAATAGGAAAGTCCATCAGCTTGATAATGGAGGAGAGCAACGACTCCACGGAGAACACCCACCAAAGCCAAGGCCGGAATAATGCCATGAAGTGTGGGTGGCTGAGGAAGCAAGGAGGCTTTGTCAAGACTTGGCATACCCGCTGGTTTGTGCTGAAGGGAGATCAGCTCTATTATTTCAAAGATGAAGAGGAAACCAAGCCCTTGGTAAGTGAAAAAACAAAAAGCATTGTGGGCCTAAGCAGTATAACAAGTACAGGGGTTTGCTTGAAACTGATGGAGAATGATGCCAATCCAATCTCCCAGGTCTCTTCGGTTCACTGGCATCTTTTACATTTTTTCTCATTGTCTACTTTAGTTGAAGATGATGAACTTGCTAATTGAGTCCACGAGGCAAATACTACTTGTCTAATATGAATTTTGAGGTTTAGTAAGCTGGAACAGAATGTCTGCGTCCCTCAGGCAAACTTACTCCATGAGAAAATGTTAATGGCCATCTACCAGAAGATATATATTGTTGCTAAACATCATTCCTTTTCTCGGAAATAAGTGGAAAGCACAGATCTGAAGGAAGACTGTCCTGCAACTTCCAGTAATTTCTGGGACACTTGCAGTATTATTATAGTTGTCTGAGGTGCTTCCCTCCACATTAATTTACGTGAAATAAGGATGTGAAGCTAAAGCGAACAACGCTGTTACGTCCAACCGGCACACATAGTATACTCCTTTGGAAAAAGTTCCTATGTTTCTTTGTGGTTCCTAACCGGTCTTTTATTTGTTTATTTACTTAATCATTTTCTGAGTCACAAGCCTCTAGGCTGCAATGAGAGAGAAGGAAAATCTCCATCTTTCTCTGTAGCTATTGTACCACAAGCTTTCTTATTAATATTTGTGATCATTGCTTACGGATTGATGAAGGAAGACGTGAATTGAGGCATCGAGTCTGTGTTTTTCCTTCATCTACTTGCATAGGATATATAAATAAGCAAAGAAACATTTTAGAGTAATTTAAATAAATATCCCTAACAGTATGTTCCCGAAGGCTATTCCCCTTGTGTTAAAGCTCAAGATCTTAATTGAGAATTTGGATCAGGACTCTGCTTTAGTATTTTAAATTCCTCAGACATTATACTTTCACAGAATTTTTATTCACCTAATTGGATTAAATAAAAATAATAATGAAGGTATATACTATAAACCTCAGTCATTTTTTGAAGTTACTACTATTTTTTGAGCATTTTACTAGGGCCAGGCATCAGACTAAGAATTATTTATATTGTTTTATGAAATGACTAAAATTATCCTGAGGTAGGATTGTCCCCATTTATGCATGAAGAGACCAAGGTATAATGGTAATGCAGATTACCCAAAGTTAGACAGCGGTGCCGTGTTTTGCCTCTAAGTAAGTTTAAGTTCCCATGGCCTCAGCCAAAGACCTCATAACCAAATTGACAAGAATATCCCATATTGGTATCATGGCATGTATAGTGCATTTCTGTACCTGTTATTGCATTCATCATAGCAAACCAGAGAATACGGGGATTATCATTACAGATGAAGAAATTGTGGCTTAGAGATATGAGGCAACCTAGATCTATAGAAATCAGATGCAAAGCAGTAGTCTTTTGTCTCTCATCTCATACTCTAGGGTTCTTTACTCATTGCACCTTGTTTTATACTATGTAATACATTAAGGTATTATCTTCAACATAAAACCATTTTTACCAAGCTCAAGGTTATGTTAATGTGAAAAAACATACAACATGGGGATCCAATATGGGGTCTTTGATATGGAGGAACACACTGAATAAAATGGGAGAAGTATGAGTAAGATTCAGTGTTTTACTCCATGGACCCTTATTCTGGTATGATTTGGTGGACTGGGTTATTAACTAGAATGGGAATGAATTAAATGATTAATTAGGTCTGATCCAGGACTTAAACAAGGGAATTGGGAGCAAACAGAGGATTCAGGAGCTGAGTGAGTGGAGAATTGAAAGCAGAGCAAAGAAATCTTCTTGTTGGTGAACTCAGTGTACCTTCTAGTAATGAAGATAATAATATACAGTGGATCAAGCCTGAGCTCAGTGTTTCTAAAATTTGAGAACTTGAAGATGTTAAATAATATGTACAGGGTTTGAGGAACTCTGCCCTAAACTGTTCAAAGAGAATATTGTCATATTGCCTTGGCTATGCTTCTCAGTAATTTCTCAGAAGATCTACATAGTCACAAATAGTATTCAGTGCAATGTAGGTAATTTGATACAAAGTTGGAAATATAAATAAGAAAATGCAAAAACTTGATTAATTCAAATGAAAATCTGCTTTTAAATGAAAACGAATTTATAATATTTCTAAGGTAAGTTATATTTTGATATTAGTATGTTACTAGTATTTGTAGACTTATAATAATTGAAATTAACAAAATAGACAAGAAAGCACAAATCTTTATATAAACCAAAAGTAGACTACCATCATTCCCCCTAGAAAAGGGTTTTAATTTTTCTTTCTATTTATTGTTTGTTAAAGGTTTGCTATTAATCAAGTAGTCAAAATTTGAAATCAATAACTTTGAATTATTATTTTTCTTTTCTTCCTTTTTTTTTTACCATCTTTCATGGCAGTACAAGCACCAGGAATTTTAACATTGTACTTTAAAATTTTAACCTTTTACAGTAATGTTTAAACACTTGCAAATAGATTCAGATTAAAACCCAGCAATTTCTGTATCAGAGGGCTCTTGGTAATTTTAAAGGACCATATCTTTGCCTAAGATTGGACTAATTCTTTACTTTAAAGTGGACTCTTTAAGTGACTGTAGGTGCCTGGCACACTGTAAGTGCTAACACCTATTTTTGGATGAGTTGTTGAGTGAGTCAGTGAAACTCTACAGCCAAGTGGGGTGGGTGGGGCCATGACCAGGCACAGTGAGCAGTATTGACTATTCTCAGCATCATATATCAAAATCAAAACGCTGTATTTAAATCAATGAAGTTTAAATCATATTAAATAAATCTTATAGTGATATATTACAGAATAATTTTTAAAGAATTGATCACCTCAATGAAGAACTATTGAACATCTTGAAAAATGTTTAAACTGGAAAAACGTAGTTGTCATAACAGCCCCTGTTTTATAGATAGTGTGTGTATGTGTGTATGTGTGTGTATGTATGTTTGTGTGTATATATGTGTGTATTGGCAAAGGGACATTAATGAATGGCAGATGAGGAACTAGAAATTAGATTTCCTTGCTCATGATCCAATGTTCCTTTAGTTTAGCCCTTTGCCTGCTCACAAATCTTCAACTGTTCTTTAGGTTTGTTTTCAGACAGAAGTACTTCTTGATTGTTTAGTTTTGCCACTATTTTGATTGTATTGCATAAGAATGCCCTTTGTCTTCATATATTTTGATAAGGGCTAGTTCAGAAATAAGGGAGGAAGTGTCACTAATGAAATGAAAAAAAAAACCTCACTCTTTTAAGCATTCCTAACCAGGTGAAAATATTCAATAAATTTAATCTGTATTTGTTTTCCTTTCTCTTAGATGGCATTTTTAAAATGAGTATATTAAAATGCCTGAAATTTGTGTCCCTCCTGCCCTAGAAAGTTTCTCTATTTATTTTAGTAAAACTTTCATTGAGTTATACCTCAACTCAATAAAGAGAACCAATTCCATCATTATCCTTGTTATTAAAAACTGTCCATCTCCTGGGGGAAACATATAAGCAAAATTATAATTGGGACAGGCTGCCATGTAAATGCTGAATGCTCTGAAAACACAGGTATAATTAGTGTTAAGGAGTGAGTGATGACTCTGTCTAAAGGGGTAGGGGAAGGCTGCTCAAAGCAAGAGGTGACTCTTACCTAGGGTGTTGAAGATTGGTGAACATTTTCCAGGTATATACATTGGAGAAAGGAATTCAGAGCAGAGGAAAGACCTGGAGTTGTAAAATAGACTTTTATAGATAGCTCCATATTGTGAGGATAGTGAAATTATAAGAAATGGGGTTAGAGAGATAGGTGAGGTCACAACATAAATGGATGTGTATGTTTGTTGCACAAAAATAATGGATTCTCTGGTAGGCGGTGCAAAGTTATTTTCGGAAAACCTATGCTGTTTAAGCTGCGAATGCACTAATTTGTTTGAAAGGAATCATAGCAGCTGTTTCCCACTGTATCCGTCTGCATGGCTACCATAACAATATGCCATAGATTGGGGGACTTAAATAACAGAAATTTATTTTCTCACAATTCTGGAGAAGGGAAACTCACATCAAGGTGCTTGCAGGATTGGTTTCTAGGGAGGCCCCTCTTCCTAGCTTGCAGATGGCCACCTTCCCTTTGTGTCTTCACAGGGCCTCTCCTTTGTGTGCAGGAGACTGAGAGCTCTAGAATCTCTTCCTCTTATAAGAACACAAATCCTAACAGATTGGCCTCATCATTATGACTTTTTTAACTTTAATTTTCTCTTTAACATCCCTATCTCCAATATAGTCACATGGGGTATTGGAGTTTCAACACATGAATTTGGGGTGGGGGAGGCACAATTCAGTCATTTACACCTAATATATTGAAAACTTACGTTAATGATGATAATTTTCTCAGGTTTTTCTTCCATTTGTATCATCAAATTTTATCTTTACTAGAACCTAATGTACTTGATTTAGTGCATTATATACTTAATTATGAACCTAATATTGGTGTTTCATGTTCTTGTTCAAGTTGCCCCTTTGCAAATATTCCACAATCTGCAAGAGTTTCAGAACTTTAGAAAGTCTCATTGCCACTCTTCCTATTTTTCTTTTTGAGCAAAAGGCAAAACTGCCTCTAGGTTCCCCTATCTCTGGAGAGACTACCTGAGTTTTAAACAAGCCTTTCTAGCCTTTATCCAGAGTTCCTCTGGCAATATATTAAAGGTATTCTTCAAAATATAACTATTTTATATTTAAAATATATACAACTAAAATTTTTAGCATCCTACAATTTTAAAAATAGAAGAAACTTTAGTTCATCTAGGCCAAAGATCTCTCCAGAAACCATTTCCTACAGTTTCTCTTTGCACTTATATAGATACACATTTTATTCAAAACAGATAAGCAGATTTTAAAAATGAAGTAGATTTGGGTTGTTCCTGAAAAGATAAAACACAGAAAAGTCATGAATGTAGTCAATTTTGAACATACATTAGTACATCCATAATTTCAG